ATTCATCTTGGTACGTGTGTGATGACGGGAAGGTTTCCTACCGCAAGGTGTCCGCAAAACAGCTAGTGCCGCTTTTGCGTCGCTGCGTGGGTCTTCGTCGGATATTATTAATCGTTGCGGACGCCGGTGACGAACTCATCCTCCCGCTCGCGGCGCACTGTACGAGGCTGGAGTCGCTTGCCATATCCTACCGAGGTGGCACGGGATGCACTGACTCCGGCATCGCAGTTCTGGCGCGCGTGCACACGAACCTCGAAGAGCTCGAAATCATGAGTCAGAGGGCTCTCACGGATGACGCGCTGCGTTCGATCGCTCAGCATCTGCCAACGCTGAAGGTGCTACAACTGAGCGGCTGCAGCGGGATCACCGACGCGGGAGTGATCGAGCTGGCCCAGTCGTGCACCTCGTTGAAAGCGATCTCTCTCTCGAATACTCCCGTCACACACGTTGGCATCTCGGCGATAGCGAGGAACTGCTTCTCGAAAAGTTCATCGCGTCTGGCGATGCTGTAACTGATGAAGCCATCATAACGCTTGCACAGTGGTGTCCGAAACTAAATCACCTTGTTCTTCACGGTGCATCAATCACCGATGCCGCTCTCAGCGCGCTGGGCGCCGGTGACTGCCCGCTCCATTGTTTGTTCATCGGCAAGTGTCGGAACGTCACGGACGCTGGCGTCGCCACGTTGCTGCCAAAATGGAAGACTGCGCCAAATGTGAAGCTGAGTCTTACTGGAACGGGGATCACGGTTGCTTCGGTGCTCGCGATTGCGGCCAACGTTCCCAACCTCATTTATTTTGTGGTAGAAGGAAACAGGGATTGTCATGTTACCGATGAAGCACTCTGCGCACTTGCTCACGGGTGTCCCATCATCGGGAGCGACTTCGATCTCTCGACCCAGGCCGCATTCAAATTCGACCCCTCCGCGCTCGTTTCGCAGGCTTGCGTGAAGAAGCTCGAGATTTCCCATCCTGGGTTCCGGCATTCTATGAGGCCGTGGGTGGAAGTCGACTACTAAGGCCGCATCCTCTTCTGTGCACGCGCACGCCCACTTGACGCGTCGCTCATTCTTAGCCGTCCGGACTCGCGCGTCCGCCTCAGATGGCGATGGCGTCGTAGAGCGGACAATCGCCCTTCTCGGCGAGGTTGTCCATGTAGGCGCGGACCTTGGGCGGGAAGACCAGGCCCTTGACGATGGTGAGGCTGCGCAGGCGGCTCCAGAGGTCGATGTCGTCGAGGCTCAGGCCGCCCTCGGTGCAGCAGTCCTCGCAGCAGATGAGCGGCTCGAGGTCCTTGAGCTTCTCGTTGACCTCGGCGATCAAGGCCGCGTCGTTGGACTGGTCGTTGTACAGGGCCCAGCGCTCGTCCATGGTGAACTTGTCGCTCTTCCAGTCCGGCTTCTCGTAGGGCGGCAGCTGGTGGTTCTTGACGAACGCGTCCTTCGACGACCGCGTCACGAACTCGGGCAGGTAGGTCTTGACGTAGCGCGGCCGCTGGAGCAGGCGCAGGGGCTGCTGCACGGACTTCTGCCAGGCCTTGAGGTCCGTGCGGTCCGACATCTCCCTGAACATGCCCGGCGGGCCGTACTTGTCGTCCGCGTCGACGTTGCGGACGATGTC